TCATCCTCACCCTCACCTTCACCCCCATTCCCACCCTCACCCCCCGCCCCCCGGCTCGGGGTGACAGACGGCTGTGCTGAGCAGGCGGCCCCACAATGCAGCTGCCGGATGAGGCTGTTTCGTGATTGGGGTGGGATTTCCGCTGAAGCCTCCATGTGGACAGTGGTGGGTGTGACCGTGAACGTCCACCTTTAGGAGGGTCAGCCAGTCAGCTCGGGGCAGGTGTCCAGGCCGGGGCCGTCGAGGTGCCGGGAGCCAGCAGGGAGCAGGCAGCGCTCACCAGTGAGGCGGGGTGTGGGGTCCTAGGCCCAGCAGCCCTCCCGCGGAATCCGCTTCCCTTATTGAGGCTCATGGGGGGGTCAGTAGGGAAAGGACTTTCGGGCTCCTGGGGGCGGGGAGATTTCTTGGGAGAGCTCCCCTGGCAATCCTGTGTCCGTTCCACCTTTAGGAGGGTCAGCCAGTCAGCTCGGGGCAGGTGTCCAGGCCGGGGCCGTCGAGGTGCCGGGAGCCAGCAGGGAGCAGGCAGCGCTCACCAGTGAGGCGGGGCGTGGGGTCCTAGGCCCAGCAGCCCTCCCTCGGAATCCGCTTCCCTTATTGAGGCTCATGCGGGGGTCAGTAGGGAAAGGACTTTCGGGCTCCTGGGGGCGGGGAGATTTCTTGGGAGAGCTCCCCTGGCAATTGTGTGTCCATTCCCGATGCCGGGGCGGGTGTCCTGAGGATGCTCCTGTGTGAGCGCGGCTGGGTTACCTGAGGTGAGACCAGTGCTGGGCCGATGGAGCTGGTCTGCCCGCTGCACGCCGTCAGCCCGTGGGAGAGGGCGGGTCCCCGTCTTCATAGTCACTCCCGCAGCTCCCCGCCCCTCATGGCCCGCACGCTGCCGCAGGGAGAAGCCGACCCACGGCCCAGGAGCAAGGTCAGCCAGCATGTCGGGGCTCCGACCCCAAGCCCACGCTCCAAGCCCCTGCTGTGAGCGCGCTGCGCCTCCCTAGCCAACCTGACCAAGAGGCTCCTGAGTGAACGTGGCGGCGTTCAGCCATCATTCCACCAGAACAATAGCAGCCTCGCCCCTAAGAGGGAGAGGCAGGTCTGCCTCCTACGCCTCCAGGGCCGAGCATCCGGGACCACACGTCTCCGACATGAAGACACACAGGACCGGTGCTCAGAACGTGAGAGTCCTGGGACCACATGCCTCCAACATGCTGACACATAGGACTGGGTGCTCAGAACACAGAGCATCCTGGACCACACGCCTCCGACATGAAGACACACAGGATCGGTGCTCAGAACGTGAGAGTCCTGGGACCACACGCCTCCGACATGCTGACACACAGGACCGGTGCTCAGAACACGGAGCGTCCCGGGACCACACGCCTCCGACATGAAGACACACAGGACCGGTGCTCAGAACATGGAGTGTCCCTGGACCACACGCTTCTGACCTGATGACACACGGGACCGGTGCTCACAACACGAGAGTACCGAGACGACAGACTTCCAACGTGATGACATACAGGACCAGGTGTGCAGAACGCAAGTCCCGGGACCACATGCCTCCAACATGAGGACATGCAGGACGGTGCTCAGAACACGGAGCGTCCCGGGACCGCACGTCTCTGACATGAAGACACACAGGACCGGTGCGCGGAACGCGAGTGTCCGCCTGGAGCTCCGCAGCCTCTGTTTGCGGGACCGAGGGCCTGGGTGAGGGGAGCGAGGCTCATGGGGCCAGAGGGGAGGCCGTTACTCAGGCGGACGGGTGAGCGGGGCCTCGCTGGGCGCGGGAAGTGCCTCCAGGCTTCATGCCTCCTGTTACAGCTGCTTCGGCCAGGACTCTCCGGAGGGGCTTGTCAGGGGGCAAAAAGGAGATTTATGTGCAGCGTGTTTATTACAGTGCAATTTATCACAGCAGAAAAGTGGAAACAATTTTAAGGTCCAACAGCAGGGGGTAAATAGTGCCTCGGTGACGGCCTGTCTACCTGGCGGACTACCCGCAGCCGTGAGAGGCCGAGGGGGTGCGTGACGGGCGGGGAGCGGTGCGCTCCGGGGCTGCTAAGGGGGAGAGCAGGTTCCACAGGGCTTGTTCCGGGGCCGGGATTTGTGGAGGCACATGTGTGTGCGTGTGCGTGTGCGTGCGCGTGTGCGTGTGTAAAATAACAAGAGCGGCCTCCCTGGAGTGAGATTTAAAGGTCATCTTTATTTTCTATTTCCAGCTTTTCAAAAGTCTGGTTGAAAAGGGGGGAAAGGCCTTTTTCTTGCCAGGGCTTCAGGGCCCGGGAGGGAGGAGGGGTCTGGCGGAAAGTCTTTATTTTGAGTTTTCTCCTGAGCGCAGGCAGGTGATGTCACGCTCGTGCCTGGGCCGAAGCGGGGAGGACGGTGGCTGAGCGAGGGCACTGGGATGATTGTCAGACGGGGGCAACAGCGCTGTGCCCAGCACCCGGCGGCATCTGGGTCCCCCCTCTCCCGTAGCCTCGGCCACCTGCATTACCCCCCAACTCTCAGCAGAGGCAGGGAGAGCCTGGGCCAGGGCTGGAAGGCCCCGCTGAGGGCCCTGGGGAATGGGGCTCCATGGGGGGGGTGGGTTCCATGGGGGTGAGGCTTGCAGTCCCTCCCCGTCCTTGCCCTCCAGCCTCAGGGAGACTGTTCTGCAGGGGAGGCCTGGCCAGACCCCCGTGAGAGGGAAGGGGTTGGGGGGAGAAGCCTTCACCCTACACAGAGGGGAGTGTGTTTGCCTGTTGGTCATGGGGTGTCTGTGTGCCAGTCTTGCCAACGTCCCTGAGTTCTTGAGGCTGAGTCTGTCTCCTCGTCCCCAGCCGGCAGGGTCTGGGACAGAGCAAGGGCTCATCCCAACTCGTCCAGCAATGGCGTTAGGGTGTCGTCGAGGAATCCAAGGGCTTGGACACGACTCTTTCTCGTCTCGTGGACAGAGAGATGCTTTTGGAGGCAGAAGGCCAAGGCCGGCCAGTGGCTGTGTGTGTAACAAGCCAAGGGCGTGGGCTGGACCCGTGGGGCGTGGCGCCCCTGCTCCCCTGTGCACTAGGGCTCCAGCCCAGCTGGGCACCTGCACGCGCAGACCCTCAGCCCTTTTGTTACAGGAATCTGCGGTCCTGCCAGGCTTCCTGTTCCTGTTCTTCTCCCACATTCATTCATTCAGTCAGGCAGGCGTTCATTCAGCTAATGGTCCCGGCTCTGTTCCCGAGGCTGGCGATCTAGAGCCATGATGGCGAACCTATGACACACGTGTCAGAGGTGACACGTGAACTCATTTTTTTGGTTGATTTTTCTTTGTTAAATGGCATTTAAATATATAAAATAAATATCAAAAATATAAGTCTTTGTTTTACTATGGTTGCAAATATCAAAAAATTTCTATATGTGACACGGCACCAGAGTTAGGTTAGGGTTTTTCAAAATGCTGACACGCCGAGCTCAAAAGGTTCGCCATCACTGGTCTAGAGGAACAAGGCCCCATGGTGCCAGGAGCACGCAGCCCCGACAGGCGGGCCCTGAGCCCAGTTCTCTGCAGCGCACACGGGTGTCCTAGAAGCAGCCCAGCAAGTGCAGGCGTCGGGTCTGCCGGCCACGGGAGGCTCGCGCGCCTCCTCAGCAGGAGCGGGGACAGGTCGGCCACTGTGGGGTGGGGATGGCGTCACCGACCGAGGTTCTGTCCTCTGCACGCCCAGGGACCGCTGGATGCCCAGGGACCGCTGGAGGGAGTGCCCGTGGGCGGTGCCCATGTCCCCCCGGAGGCAAAAGACAGGACTGAAAGGGTGAAAAGACTAAAAATAATACTAATAACAATTTTGAGAGCTTCGTGGTTTAAGGGACAAGTACAGCTCGGGTCATAGATGTGGACGGTTTTTCCTGAGAGGGAGAGAGAGGGTGGAGCCCCTTCCAGCTGCTGCCTGGATGCCTCTCCCTCCACGCTTGTCGGTGAGGGAATTATTTCCAGGAAAGCCTGTGCTTCTGCTGCAGTGGCTCAAGGGGAGCCAGGAGGGTCCTGTCTAGGATTGGGGGGAAGGAGGGGGCGGGGCCTGAGGCACATGTGTCCAGCCCAGCCCCGCAGAGTGGGAGGGGGCCCAGACAGGTCAGGCCAGGAGGAGGGCGTGTTTGCTCTGAGGCTGCTGGCCCTGTCCTGGGGCTGTGAGCTCAGGGGGTGGATGTGGTGCCAGCGCCTTGGAAAGTGCCTCGTGCTGCGGGGACAGGAAGTGGGGGGCAGGCGGAGCGTGTCCGGGAGGCAGCGAGGCCTCTCCTGCCTCTGATCTGCTTTCGCTTTCCCACCTGAGCCACAGCTGAGACCAGCGCCAAGGGGACAGGGCCGTGTGTCCGGGCCCAGAGCACTGCCTCTACTCTGTGGGGCCCCTAAGACATGGAGGGAGGGCATGTCCCTAGGCCAACAAGAATGTCACCACAGTGAAGCCCTGGCCGGTGGCTCAGCTGGTGGAGTGTCGTCCGTGCACCAAAAAGGTTGTGGGTTCGATTCCCAGTCATGACATATCCCTAGGCTGTGGTTCGACCCCCAGTCGGGGTACATGGGAGGCAACTGATCGATGTTTCTCACATCCATGTTTCTCTCTCTCCCCCGCCCTCCCTGTCCCGCCCCCCACCCTCAAATCAGTAAACATTTCCTGGGGTAAGGATAGATACATATTCTCACCACATCGACACCACGCTGTTTGACACTCGCCCTGTGTGACCACAGCCCAGCGCCCAACTCCCAGGGACACAGAATGGCCACCCACCCCGCGTGAGCTCCTGCCCTTGTGGGAGGCCAGTCCCACCGGGGACCGGACAGGCCTCTTCTAGGAAGACCTGAGGCCTGGGGGGCATTGCTCCTGAGACCACCTGTTCCCTGGTCTTGACTTGCCCCCTGCCAACCCCGCCCCCCACACACACACAGACATTGGATAAGGAGAAATTCATGACTCAGCAGAATAAAAGTGAACATTTAATGCACCATCATTTGATCTTCTTAAACACCAGGATCTCTTTTGACAACACTGCACCTCATATGCCGCAGACAATGTCTCACACGGAAATGGCAGCAGCTCATGGCTCGCGGCCCCAGTCTACGCGACCATCGCTCCCGGGGCCAGGTGGTCCTCCGGTCGCCTGCCGTCCGGGCCCCCGTGGGGACGACTGACTGGCCGCTGAGCTGTGCGCAGGCCCAGGCACAGACCAGCCTCCTTCTAACGGGCTGCCGGGCCCTGCCCACGGGCAGAGTCGCTGCATTTCTGACTTTAACAGATGAACTTTATTAAACATTTTTAACAGCAAACACTCGTAAGCTAAGAACTCAATGTTCAAAACGGCACCAATCTTTTGTCCAGTTAAACAGTGAATTTCAAACAATGACATTAAATACAACCATTGACTTTGCCAACAGGATTTCATGAACTTGGTGAATGTTCTGTTTCAGACACGATAAATGCACTTGGGCAGGCCTTGCCGCCGACGTCCGGCGGGCCCGTTGCTACGCGAAGCATATTTACATACACATACATACGTGACGGAGCTGGAGGAGCCACAGAGGCATTTAGCACAACGTCCCCGTTTTACAGACCAGACAGTTCTAGGGAAGTCAGGCCATCCCCCAAAGCCACAGGACTAGGGTCAGAGCCGGGTCAGAGCCGGGCTCCTGTCCTGCGCTCCTCACCACGCCGCAGACCTTCTGCACACATGCACCCGCCCCGCCCCATGCACACATGTCAGCGCCTCCGTGTGGTGCGTCACCGGACACACACCTGGAGCCGCAGCAGCTCCTGGGAGGAGCCCGAGACGCGGGCTCGAGCCAGTCCTGCCAGGAACCCCGCGGTGCACGGCCACCTGCTGACTCAGCGCTCCGTCTCCCGCTGCAGCTCCCATTTCTTCAAAGCCCGTTACCCCTCCGCTACCCGCTTTCTCTCCACACGACCCCAGAGGGCAGCTCTCGGGACCCCGACCCTCCATGGGGAGCCCGAGGCTCAGCACAGTCCAGCGACCCGTCCAGGCTGTACAGCAGGTGTCCTCACTCCACGCGAGGCGTCCCTCCTGGTCACCTGCCTCTGCCATGAGCCAGGGACCCCAGCCCTCCCGCTCCAGCCGGGGGAGGGGACCAGACCCCTCACGCAATTCCGGTTGTAAGACTCACTAAAGTGCTTTGGTTTCTCCAGGAAAAGGCGGTGCTGTGTGTCCCAGGTAAGGAGCTCTGGCTGCTTTTCCACGCCCCTCAGGGGCAGCGGGCGGGCTTTAGGGGAACGCAGGAGCCTAACCCTGTGCCATTTTTCAGATTTCAGCCTCGAACCAGCCGGGTCCTCTCCACCCCACCCCGGCCCCCCTCCCAGGCCCATGGAGGCAGATTTCCAAGCCCCTCATCAAACTCAGAAGGAAGGTACCTCTTCCCCGTCAGCTGCTCACATAGAAACAGCTCAGCCTTGAGCTGACCCCTGGGAGGACTGGGCCCTCATCCCTGTTCTCCTGGCTTCTTTCTTTCTCTTCCCTCCCCGGCCCCTGACTCGCCAGAAGGAGGGGAACAGCCCCCTCAGACCCACCGAACACATGCGGACGCGGAGGCGCAGACGGCAGCGCCCACCCTGACGCACAGGTAAGTGATAAGTCGCAAGCGATGCTCCTGAGCCATGTCCTGATTTACAAGTAAATTACAGTCTCGATAGTCGGAGGTGACGAGGGGGTGTCGGGCAGCAGAAGGGAGGATGCAAGAAACGAGCCTTTTTCGCTGCAGAGGTGATTTCTATGTCCACGCAAGAGGGGTGCATGCGGGGCCTCGGCCTCACCCCTCCGAGTGGGCGCGGACGGCTCTGGGGGGGGGGGGTGGATGTCGGCTACCTGCAAGGAAGGCTTGACCACCTCCAGCTCCACTGTGGCCCCCACTGTGACACCATCCGGTTCTGAGGCAGGCCACCCAAAGGCAGATGTGTTTGTTTCGAGGTGGATTAAAGCAGCTTCTAAGAATCTTCAAAAAGCTTTTTTGGGAGAATATGAGTTTGAATGGTAAGCACGTCTCGTGGATTGGAACCGTGTTTTTATCTGGAAATGATAAGCCGTTTATAACAGAAAAAATGTGTGTTTGTCAGGAAGACTGCTGAGCGACGCAGTTTGTGGGTTTTTATGGATGTTGACGGATTTGCTGGAGGAGGAAGAGCTATGACAACGCAAGGAAACTACTTCCACCTCCTGTGCGTGCCCGTCCCCCAGGCCAGACCCCTCAGTGCCCTGGCAGCGCGGTGTCCTGTGCTGCTCCCCCGGCCCAGAGGACAGCGGGCAGGGCCGGCCCTCGGGCAGACGGGGCTCCGTGCGGCTTGTTGAGTTGCACCCTCCGCCGTGGACAGGCTTCAGGGACAGGGGCGTGGACAGTTTATCCAGCATCGGCCGGTCGTGGACAGAACTTTCCACGTGCTTCTTCCTGGCCCAGTTTCATGGCCTTTGACTGTGTGGAAACCCCTCCGATGCGCTCGAGGGCGGGCCAATGTCCCACAGGAAAGCGCGGACAGGAAGCCCGTGAACCGTCTGGTCTCAGCGGGAAGAGAACTCCTCCTCAGTCATGTCTCTCTCAGGCTAAGTTCCCTCTTAGAACAAGGAACTGAAGAACATTCACTAATCGGTATTTTGGAAGCGAGGGGTCGGGGTGACCCAGGACAGACAGCTGCCCAGGCCGACGGCTGCTTTCCCATTGAACGCCGGAGAAAAGTGATGGGTGAACCAACCCAGATCAGCGTGAGAACCGAAGCCCAAAGCAGGGCTTCTTGCTCAGTGTGAAGGGGAACCAGAACCAGCACCGGTGCCTGCGTGTCCGACGCTGGAGCCGCCGCCCTGGGCGGTGCGGGCGCGTGGGGCCAGGGCCACCTGCCGGGCACACCCTTCGGCTCCAGCTGACATGACAACGGCCGATTCCTGCCTCCTGTCCCCACGCTGGGCTGTGGCCTCGGTCCCCTCCCAGCCTGTCAACATGGGGCCGACCTCTGCCTTCACACAAGGCCCCGCGCCCGGAATAGCAGCCGGAGATGAACCTGGAGGAGACGAACGTGAGGGGAATTCAAGGACCAGATCAAACACGCAGCTCGCGGGCGGGGACAGACTTCCCGGGAGAAAGCGACGTCGCCTCCGCACGAAACACCATCATGAACGCATGGCCTCACTCCCGGCGACAGCATCGCGCTCCATCTGGGATCCCAGCTTGTTCTGCTGCGCGAA